ACTTAGGATATAAAGTTGATAGGAAATGTAAGAGGTCTCTTGGTGCTTATGAGTTTGAGTTACTTGTTCCCTTTCTTTATACTTTTATGTATTTCCCTAACTTTGTATCATAACTTTATTTAAGTTTATTATTTTTATAGTAAAATCTGAGTTTTAAAAATATTTTTCTGAAAAAACAATGGATTGTAAAATTCTCTGAAAGTGTCTCTGGACTCTATTATAAAAGTACAATTAAACTCAAACTAAAATTTACCTATTTCCCTCCTATAAAGTTGTATTTGAACAGGTTAAAATGATAGTGATCAAAGACTTACAACAACATAAGGAAAAATAAGAGATAAATATGAGGCAGCTCATCTAATATTCCACTGTAGGAAAAGTTGGGGGACAGTCAGGGAAAGGTAAAGGGCCTCAATGAGGTTTCTGGCAAAAAAAAGAGTTAAACTCCTTCTAGAGAAAGAGAGCAGCTAAGAAAAATAAACAGAGATGATAAAGCAGGCTGGCTCACTTCGTGCCAGCAAGCCAGGACCCCTATTGACTCCTCCTTCCACCTCCAATTAAGCACAAAAGGGACAAATTGGGGAGGAGGGCTATATCATAGAAAATTCACTTAGTATATAAAATATACACTGGCCCCTGGACACTCATACACCTATATATAAAAACATAGATATTTTATTATTCTCTCACCACATTAATACACTAAAATACACATGTATCATTTTTACTAACTCAGGGTTGAATGGGAGGCGGTGATGTAAATCTTACAAGATAAGTGCCTGGACAGAACAAAGAGACCAAAGAAGAGCTTATCCAAGAATGTACACATAGTGGAAGGGGCAATGGCCAAGCTCTCAGAGCCAAATAGCCAATTAAGTTATAACAACTTTCAAGGGGGATAGCCCCTTTCTTGCCATGTAATAAGAGAGGCTGAAAACAAAGACCCTTAAGTACTGGCTCTGGGCTCCCTACCTTACTCTGATGAGGTAGCTATCTATCTCTTTATTTGCCCTCTTTCCAATAAAGTGATTTTATTTCTCCTTCTGAACTTATATCTCTAAATTATTTTATTGATATAGGTTGGCAAACCCGGGATAAAATATCTACCCTCATGCAACGTAGCACCATATACAAAAAACCATTCTTCCATATGGGGTTGGTTGTCTTGGCCTGATTAAATGACTATAGACTTCACCTATAACCATTTCTGGTGACTTTTGAAGTTTTTTTTCTATCCACTTTATAGTCTTTAGCTCTTTTGAGAATGTTGAATATGTCCCTGAATGTGGCAGATGCACTGTATGGTGAATTCCAATGGTGAACATCCCGATTCTAGCCTCTCCCCTTGAGTTTGGGCAGAACACATGACTTGCTTCAAACCTGCTAAAGGTAGAAAGGATGCCATTGCTTTAATTACATTATGTGACCAGGAAAAGAATGTACCTCAGTAAAGCAGCACTTGCCTAGCATATACAAGGGTTCAAACCCCAGTACTAACTCAGTCACGATGTTAGGCAGAAAGTCATTAGCAGGCTGGAGAGAGGAGGCTGGAGGGTATACTTAAAAAGCAAAGACTTATGATCCCCAGTACCAAAAAAAAAGAAAAAGAAAGTTCTGAAACAGCAAAGGCTTTTTTCTTCACTTTCTTAATCATTAGCTATACATAAGATCCACACAAGCTTGTAGATTGACTTTAGACCAAAAGAATATAACATACTCTAAATATGCTGTTAAGGTTTAGGGACCATATGAAGTTTAGACTACTGGTGAGGAATTGGAAAAATCTCAGCTTTCAAACTAAATGAAGGCATTCATTTAAGGAGTAAACAGGGACCTGCTTCTCTCTGAAGTAGAAAAACAGCTCTTTTTCTTCCTCCTCCTCTTCCTCTTCTTCCTCCTCCTCTTCCTCCTCCTCCTCCTCCTTCTTTTTTGTTCCAGAACAGTAACACAAGGGAACAGCCCTTACCTGCTGCTCACTAAAAGCATGATTTGTGCTTTCTCCTGGGGACGCCTAAGAAATAAAACCCATTTTGCTATGAACCATGACTCTAGTTGGGCCTACAGATGCTTAACAGGTAGCTAAAGGCAGAACAAAGTTTGAGTTTTGTTTTGTATCTTATGTTACTATAAATTATGGGTCAAACCCCTTCTCAGCTCTGCATAGCTATGTTAATCATTTAGGGAGTGTCTGTTTAAAAGTTGGCAAAACACAGCTAAGTAGCCCTGAATTTACATGCCCTCAACCTTTTCAAGATTAAGGACACCAGGATGAGGGACTTCTAGCCACATTCATCTATGCCTGGAAGTCTCCTACCTAGACCTGTGACCACCTATCCCCAGCCATAAAGATTCCAGAACTATGTAAGCAGGACTGACAGAATGATCAGCTGGAGCCCAGACTACCAGCTAATCCCTAAAAGCTGGCCTCCTGCATTTTCTGGGGGACAGTCTGAACCCCAGTGTCAAGAGTGTGCCCTTCCAGCTACTTAAGCTGGAATCCTTTCCTATATTACCTCTAACTTTCCAATTAAAACTTTCTTCTGTATATTTATACTTTAGTTTTACTTTTCATTATTACTAAAGTTAAGGACAGAAGCTAGCCAGTGACAGTACAAAAAAAAAAAAAAAGCAGGTAGGTGGATGACATATGACTATATATATGACCATACATGACTCTAGATTAGCAGACTGGTAGACTGGTGCAAGAGATTTTCCTACTGGGTTTGAGGAGGCTGCCATGTTGAGAGGATCTGTGAGAGAGTCACATGGCAAGAAACCGAGAGGCCCCGCAGAACAGAGTTGGAACCAGCTGAAAGTGTGTGTGAAACAAAACTTTAGTCTACAACAGCAAGGAACTGATTATTTCCAGGAAGCACCTGTCCCTGGAACAGGAGGCCAAGCTCCAGAAAAGAATGCTGCTCCATCCAACAGTGATTGCCATCCACTAAGACCCATTGTAGAGAACACAGTTAAGTCATACTCAGATTCCTGAACCACGGTTATGTGAGAAAATGTATGCTGTTTTAAGTTGCTAAATTTGTTATGTGTTAGTTGGCAATAGAAAGTCTGGGTATTCATTATTGTGTATCAGAAAACACCTATTTAGAATTAATATAGATGAATTCTAATTCTTGACATTGTGTTCTCTGCCTTTCAGTTTGGAAATATATTTTCAAACACAGAGCCTATTGCCTCATATGGCTGCTACAGTTTGGCTGTTTATGTCTTCCAAAGGCCTACAAGTTAAGGCTTCGGCTCTAGAGTGATATTATTGGTAGATGGTGGAGCCTCTAAAAGTGGGTCCCAGTGGAAGGCCATTGGGTCAATTGAAGTTGTGGGAATCCAGACTCTTCTTCACTTTATTTTAGCCCAAATCTAAGCGGTTTGGCTTCAACACACACTGCCGTTATTACAGACAGCTAAGCTAGGCACAAATATTACAGGCAGCCAGGCAGGGCCAGGCCCTTGAGAGAGTCAGGACAAAGGTGAAAACACATTACTGCTGTGGCCAGAGACACAACTGTTAGAGTCCTGGCCTCAAGATAAAGACAAAATGACCATGCCTAAGGTAAATAGTAATGCCTGGTCTAATGAAGCCTAGATAGACATCAGTCACCTCAGTGGGTGACAAAGACCCTCAAACACATCCCTTCCTGAAAAGTTCTTTGTTCCTTCCATGTACACTTGCTATGAGACTTGCTTCCCCGTTTGATCAATGCTATCTAAGCTACTATAGTTATAATCTTATTGGTTAATCATAGCTGTAACCCATGCTGTACCAATGTGGTTGTGCTCTATAACACTTCCCCTGAGAAATGGCGTCCTCAGCAACCTGATTTTGGGTCCCCTCCTGCCTCTCAAGAGCTGTATCTTTCCCCTCAATAAATATTTCCTACTCCTAACCTCTCTTGTTCATTAGAATTCATTCTTTGATTTGGGGGGAACATGAACTCAGCATGTCAGGCATCTAGCAGGTTGTTATATTTCCTCTATATATTTAGAGGTCCTATACCATTTTGTATATCACCATGATGAGCTATTGCGACAAGCAGAAAACCAATGTGGTCCACTGATCATGGACTGCAACCCTCAAAACTGTGAGCCAAAATACTCCTTATCTCTTTATAAGTTGGTTATTTTGGAATTTGTTATACTAATGGAAACTTTAACACAGAAAATTTATACAAAGAAGTTGAGTCTTTGGTCTTCCTAGGCAAGTGCTCTAACACTGAGGTACAACCTCAGCCCTTTGCTGATACTATATACCTGATGATGTGAAGAAGTGGTTGGGATTTTTAAGGGGAATAAGTGTAGAATGCTGTAACATTCTAACAAGTGATTCTTCTGAGAGCTGACAGGACTGTGGACCGTGAAGGCAGAGCTGTGAGATTTCAGATGGAGATGAATGCTTTATTAGAATTGGGCTAAAGGACATCCTTGTTACACTATGGCAAAAATGAATTGCCACTGGGGATTTAGCTCAGTGGTTCTGTTGCCTGCCTCACAAGCACAAGGTCCTGAGTTCGATCCCCGGTACAAAACAAAAAAAGAATTAACACATTGTCTGGTCCCTGTTTTAGGCAGATAGTTATATACTGGGCCTGAGGCACAAAGGAAGTACATGTTTTGCCAGTTAAATGAAGAAACAAAGCCTCAGTATATAATATGTTTAAAAACATTTATTAAGTCTTAGACCTTTAAGATTATCCATTACGGCCAGGTGTGATGGTGCACACTTGTACTCTCAACACTTGGGAGGCTGAGGCAGAAGGATTGTCAGGGGTTTGAGGCTAGCCTGGGCTACAATAGTGAGTTCAAGGCCAGCCTTAATCACATAGTGAGATCTGGTCTCAAACACACGCACAAACACACACACA